TGTTTTTTTTTAGAGTCATAGAATTTTCGATAGAGTTATCTGTCATTCGACAGTTGCTAGATAGCATTTTGTTTTGACATTTCAGTTCTGTAAGCTTTGACAAATCATCACGGAAAGACCGAAGCCATAACAACGTTTACAAATTCCGAAAATTTATTTACAAAATCAGTGTTCTGTTCGCTAAAATTATAGAGCACTTTGTGAACTTTATGGCACAGATAATTGTCCATCAAAGCAACATATTCGTCGAACTATTTATAAATTTCGAACAACATTTACTTTACCCGATGAAAACCCAAAAACAAGACAAAGAACTGTACGTACAGAAGAAAATAACGGCGCTGCAAGTGACAGTGCCGTCCAAACAATCGATTTATCGAAAGAACAATTTGGTGAGAAAATTATTTCAAGAAATGGTCCAGTGGTTTAGTCACCAAAATCATGTGTGACTTTACGCCTCTAGATTACTTTTCCCGGGGATATGTAAAATTCCAGGTTTATGATGATAAACAAGAAACAATTGACGCTTTGGAAGCAAACATAACTCCTGTTGTCAACAAAATACAATTTTTCAAAACTGAACTAAATGACTTGAATTTCTTGTAGATGACAGAGGGTGCAGTTTACTAGACGATGGCTATAAAGCTTTTTTTAAATATTGCTATTACTTAGAATGGAAAGAAAAAGATTGAAAGTCCTCGCTTTTTAAATTTCTCATCTGAGCCTATAACGAGAATTTAAAAAATGGCTTTTGTAGATCTCGATTTCGATAAAATTTTCAACAGGCATATAAGTTACCGAGATCTACAAAAGACATTTTTTTATACTATAGGCTCAGATGAAAAAGTTAAAAAACGAGAGATTTTTACTTTTTGGCATTGCAAGTAATAGCAAAATTTAAAAAAAAAAGCATTTCAGTCATCGTCTAGAGGCATCCTCTATTATCTAAAAGAAATTCAAGTCATTTAGTTCAATTTCCAAAAAGTTATAACGTTTTAAAGATGTACGGACACTTTTGTGGGCCACTGTACGCCGGAAATTATTTTCAAAACTTAAATGTCAAGGTTATATTATAAAATTATAAATTAAAAAAAAATTATTAAAGTTATTTATTAAAAATCATAAAATTATAAAAAAAAGACAAAATTTTGGCTTCGAGCTTAAATTTTTCTGTGTTTTATTTGAATTCAAAGTTCTATCAATCTAACAAAAACACCTTTTATTTAAAACAGACTTCAATTAATTTTTTTCCCGAAGATAGTATGGAATGATTAGGAACCGTCGCGTTGATTAGCGTTTCCTTATCTTTGAGGACCGCGACGTGCTTCGCTGGTCGTTACAGAACTTCCGCTGAACCTGCAACGTTGTAACAAATGGCAGATGAACGCCGTAGTGTAAACATACATATGTATCTGTCCGAACTTACCGCGCGCGAACGACATCGACACATAACCAAAGATTCGTCAAAATCTGAAACACGCATTGCACAAAATAAAAATAATTGCTCTTAAAATATCGATCATAAATTACTTTTCTTTCCGCAAGGATTATATTAACTCTTTGCAGTTGGCGGCATTTTATCTTTAAATCCAAATTAGGTTTCCTAACCTACGATATTTCCATTTTGTACGACTTATTGCACTTTGTGCACATGAAATTAAATCCTGTTGCTCATACAACAGTTATTACACTTTCAACAGTTTTTTAGAGTACAAAAAACATGAATTAGCGTACAAATAACCATCATAAATGTCGGAAACAATTTTTGGTTATAAATAAATATTACGGATAACCAGAATTATGCAAGGCCGACCACGGAACGTGATCAGCTTAATTTATGCTGCTGCTAGTGATTCGATTGGAAATGTTTTGAGCTAAAATAACATTGTATAAGGGGAGCTTTAAGACGTTTGTACCAAAGTTTTCGCTAATCCTTCTTTTTCGGAGTTATCAAGGTCATCTTCAATTTTTTATTGGTTGACCTACAATTTTTTGGTATCCATTTTTCACTCAACTTTTAAACAAAAGTTGTGCATTTCTATACGCAGATTACGATACCGAAATAAAAAATATAGGTTTATGCTGCTGCTAGTGATTCGATTGGAAATGTTTTGAGCTAAAATAACATTATATAAGGGGAGCTTTAAGACTTTTGTACCAAAGTTTTCGCTAATCCTTCTTTTCCGGAGTTGTCAAGGTCACCTTCAATTTTTTATTGATTGACCTACAATTTTTTGGTACCCGTTTTTCACTCAACTTTTAAACAAAAGTTGTGCATTTCTGTACGCAGATTACGATACCGAAATAAAAAATATAGGTTTACGATAAAAAGAGGAGATGATAATCTTAAAAGAACGCCCACGCATTAAAAAACTATTAAGGTTATTTGATTTTCCACCCGAAATATTGAAGGACATGTATCCGTTTGTTTTCGGCTACTCAACTTAAATGGGACACCCTGTATAAAAAAGAATCCAGGATTTGATCGAGGAAAGATGTCAACTTACTGTTGACAATATGGAATAGATCATAGTTACAAGTTGTGATATAAATTTCAGCAAACAATAAGCGAAAATATGTTCATATACATTATATAATTGGTTTCATTGTTTTGTATACAGTGATGTGCATTATTGTAGATTCAAACTAACTTTTACATTGTTATTAATATTTAAACGAAAACTTAATGAAACATTATATTTGTAACATAGAAATATACAAATACGATGTTTCGTCAAGTTCTTTTTAAATATATAGGGTGTCTCAGTTAAAGAAAGACAGCTACAGTGCTGTGAATAATTATGTAAATATGATGTAACTTCTTCACATTTTCACCAATATTTAAACGAAAACCAATCGAATGCTATATTTGTATATTTCTATTTTCACTTGTTTCTAATATAGAAATATGCAAATATCGTGTTTTGTCAAGTTTTTGTTCAGATTCCACTAAAAATGTCGGAGTTACTTTGAGTCTACAATTATTCATGCCGCTGAATATTTTAGCACAAATTAGTCCCCACGATTTTTTAGCCCCTTTAGATGGTCCGACGAAAAAATGTTTCCTATAAAAGTTAATTAGTATTTAACCGGCAAGAAATTTCGATTGTTTCAATTTAAAGACAAATTGATTTTCGATAAAAAAAACAAGGTCACCGTTATATATTTTTAAATGTTATATAATTTTAAAAATATTATTTTAAAACTAGGTAATTTCAACTTCACAGTATTGTAGGCGACGTCGAAACGAATTTAACCTTGACCTTCGGATAACATTGAAGAAAAGAATGCCATGAATCGATTGTCACAATATCTGAAATAATTCGGCGATACGTGACACTAAGGTCACGCATGTAAACGTAAACAAATGAACGTAAACATTACAAATGCTCATTTATTACAAAGAGCAGAACGTTGCGTTGCAGAAAGTGGAGTGTAATTCGAACGTTTAATTTAATTTCTGATCACATGCACACTTTTAACATGCGTGTTTTCAATTTGATTTTATATAAATATTTCTTTTGCTTTATGTGTTAAGGTCTGAAATTGAAAAACAACGAGCATTTGTAATATTTATGTTCATTTGTTTACGTTTACATGCGAGATCTTGGTGTTACGTATCGCCGAATTATTTCAAATATTGCGGCAATCGATCCATTTCAATTTTTCCTTCAATGTCATCCAAAGATCATCATGTAGCAGGTCATTGAATTCGTCTCGACGTTGCCTACAATACTGTGAAGATGAAATTACCTAGTTTCATTTAAAAATATAACGGCGTACTTGTTCTTTTTTTTACCGAAAATCAATTTGTTTTTAAATTTAAACAATTGCACTTTCTTGCATGTTAATTTAACATTAACATTTTTTCAAAAAAATTAACATTTTTTCGTCAGACCATCTAAAGGGGCTGAAAAATCGTGGGGACTACATAATTTCTGCCTCATCCTATGAGGCATAATGCGATATGTTGAATGATATCTTGAACAATATACACGACGTATACAAAAACATATACAAAATATTCAGCAGTATGAATAATTGTAGACTCAAAATAACTTCGACATTTTTAGTGAAATCTAAACAAAAACTTAACAAAACACCGTATTCGTATATTTCTGTACTAAAAATAACAGAAAATAGAAATACACAAACATAGCTTTCGGTTGCTTTTTGTTTAAATATCGGTAAAAATGTGAGAAAGTTACATCATATTTACATAATTATTCACAGCACTGTGAAGATGGGCTTATTTAACACTAGAATTACGGAGCACAAAAAACCAGCATTTTGTATTAATTTATAAAAGTAACAATAAGACATTTATCCTGATTTTTAACAAGTGTTATTGTAACATTTGCCGTAAGTAACACGTAAGTTGAATAAATAACGTAAAACAAATCGAATAAAAAAAAATAAATTGAAAAAAATAAATAAATTGAATAAATGACGTAAAATAAATCGAATAAAAAAAAATAAATTGAAAAAAATAAATAAATAGAATAAATATCGTAAAAGCATCTTTACGATATGCATAATCGTAAATTAAAATATTAGTAACCCGTCTAGTTTGACGGGCTCCGTAAATCTAGCGTTAACTGAGACAAAAAGAACTAAAAAGAACTTAACGAAACGTCATATTTGTCTATTTCTACGTTACAAATATAACGTTTCGTAGTTCTCCACGAAGCTCCGCCGTCTATTTATAGCGGTCGCGGAGGAATCGAAGACGGCCGATCCGCGGCACGCGTCCCATCGTCGGCGGACGATTAGCGGCGCGAGGTATCGTCAGCGACGGGCCCGATCGCAGCCGTCGTCGCGATCGAGTGACTCATTGTTAATTCACACGGCTAACCGACGCGCGACGCCGCGGGTTCCCGACGATTATGGAGAAAACTAGGTGAATTGATAACAACGGGGAACGATTCATCCCCGTCGGCGTCGAAGGGCGCCGAGAGCACGGCTGCGCAAGCGTCTTCTGGAAACGGGGTTGACGACGGTGCACGGCGTCGCGACGCTCAACGGCGCTCACTTCAATCCTCGCCGCGTGGCCGACTCGGACCGGGACCGAATTTTGAACCGGAAGTCGCGCGCTTTCGCCCGGACCACCTCTCGGTGATCGATGCGGCTCCTCGGACAGTAATCCTCGAGATTACCATCGATCTACCCATCCGATGACCTTGAGTCGTGCGGGGTGCGCGAGTGAAGCGGAACGCGGAGCACGGAGATGCGGACCTGTGGCGAGCCGAGGACGCATCGCGAGCATGATCGTCGGGTCGATCGGGTCCTGGGAACGTGCCACGGGGTCCTCTGAGTTGCGTCGCTCTGGTGATCTAACGGGACTTTCGGTTCGACCTTCAGAGTTTCGGAACCCAACGAGAGCTTCGAAAACCTTCTAAAGCTGCGACAGCTTCTGGATTTCGACTAAGCTATGATATCGCACGATTAGAATCGCAGTCGGTGGTCAGAATCGTTCGCTAGTAGCCATTAGGCTACCGCAGAACGATCCGAGAGAGGCAGCTACCTGGTCGAATGGAAACAATCGACGGGAGTCCAGCGAACGTTGAGTCGAGCTTGCGGAAGATTCGATCGAAGTGCTGCTCGACCAGCTAGATCCAAGAAGTAGAAGATCCTGGCTATGGATCCTCCGGCTCGTGGATCGCGAAGAAGCTTCTCGTGAATGGTTCGGTTGCACACGGAAGATGTCTAGACTGCTTATGGGACTCTAGGCCGAAGATGGGACTACGGACATGACGAAGCGTGACGTCGAGAACTGAGTCTCTCCGGGACCTCGCACGGCTGTCTTCGTCATAGTTCTGCACTCGAGGAACACGCAAGGTCAGCTGTTTCACTGTGATTATAGAGATTTCGGTTGGTTTCACAGATTTCTGTTCAGGATATGTATAGTACCATGCTCTCTGTTGCTAATCGAAGGACGATTCTAATTCGCACGACCGTATTCCGTGGACTCTTCTGGACGGGACGGTATAGTTTGTTGGTAAATTATGTGCACGGAAGTAGGTTTATTTTAATATTGAGGTAGGTCGGGCGCTCTTGACGCTTCGTTAATTCGCCCGAATTTTCATCGGTATTCTAGCCTTGGTTTCAGAATTTTTTAGCATGGAACTAAGACGGTCGTTGTTATGGGACTTTGTTGGGAAGTTTTGTTAACGTTTTAACAGTGTTCACGAATTTTTAGAGAATTGCGAAATTGATATTGAGTTTATTGCGAGCGATTAAGTTAATCCCTGTAACATGTTATCAAGGGGGCAGTTTAGATAGAAGTCATTCTAGACCTACTTTGAGTATTTTCTATCATCAAACTACAAAACCTATTATTATGAGGTTTTAGAAAATATTTTCATTCATGTTTCCACAATGCTTGTGAATAGATGTGTATAAGAGACAGAAGGTATTCTGGGCCTACTTTGAGTATTTTCTATCATCAAACTACAAAACCTATTATTATGAGGTTTTAGAAAATATTTTCATTCATGTTTCCACAATGCTTGTGAATTTTTAGAGAATTTTAAAATCTTAATTGAAGTTATTATAGAGGATCAAGTAAATCCTTATAATATGTTATTAATGGAATAGTCTAGTTTAGATTGAAGGCATTCTGGGCCTACTTTAAGCATTTTTTATCATCAAACTATAAAATCTATTATCATGAGGTTTTAGAAAACATTTTCTTTCATGTTTCAACAGTTCTCGTGAATTTTTAGAAAATTATAAATTCAAGATTGTGTTTATCGTGAGCAGTTCAGATTATGAGGGTAGTTTAGATAGACAATATTTTAGGCTGATTTCGAGAATTTTTTAGCATGAAACTACAAAATCCATTATTATGGAAATTTAGTATACATATTTCATTCTGTTTTAACAATCACTCTGAATTTTTACTGCATTGAGAAGTCAATGTTGCGGTTGTTAATAACAATTAAGTAAATTCATGTAACATTTATCAAGGATATAGTCTAATTCTGACAGAACACATTGTAGGCCAACTTTAAACATTTTTCACCATGAAACTATAACATTTTTTTAAACGGGACTTCAGTACACAGTTTCCTTCGTGTTTCAACAATGCCCGCGAATTTTTCGAAAATGTTAAAATCAAAATCCAATTTGCCACGCATGATTATGTGCATTCATGTAACACACATTAAAGGGATAGTCTAGATAGTGAGAAGATATTCTGGGCCAACTTTGACAATGTTTTACCACGAATTTGCAAAAGTTATTAATGCGCAACTTTTTTCCGTACTTTTGTTCCCGTTTCGATAGTATTCACGAATTTTTGAATAACGAAAAAATCAAAATTGAGATTATTGCAAACGATCAAATATGTCCGCGATAAGAGGACACTCTAGAGGATTCCACGATTTTGGAGCCATAACCTGTCGACATTTAATCCGTTGCAATTCCGTGAAAAAAAAATCATACAACGATCTATCCTAGCTCTTTATAAAGAGCAGAGTCTAGGCTTTAACGTAGTGTTGGTTGGCAACACTCTATACCATTATTTTGAAAAACGCTCCACTAGACATCAGATGGTAAAGTGAAGACGGCCATTTCGTTGAAATATTTAGGCGACCCCTTTCTCGCCTCGATCATTGTTTAAACATATTTTCATAGGCATGCTGGTGCCACGAACTAGACCATCGTGATCTGGAGCGTTCATAGAATACTGCTGTGCAAATTAGAGTTGCCTAATTAATACAGCCGAAGCTACGGAACGGTTTTGAATCATTGAGAACCTGCAGTCGCTCTTCGATGTTTGTTTTCTCAAAAATTACACATCGGAGAATATTAACGGATCCGAAGTTACAAAATCCGAATTTGGGTTGCACGATGCGTTATGCGAGTTCGTACAATGTGTTTAATGACTTGCGAGATACGGTTTAATGAAGGAGGCTCGCAACAGATTAACGGGAGGTGATCTCGGGGATAGTAATTAGGAACTCCATACGAACCCGGCCGGGTTTTGAAGTTTCGACGTTTCATGGAAGCCGGTTTTTATCAATCTGTTTATCGCTGGAACGGCTGAAATTGCGGGAGACCGCGTTTACGGGCTCGCCGCGGTGCTACCGCATCCGTGAATTTGACGATTATCGAAAAAATTCTGCCCGGACAGTGGGTCGCAAAAATCGTCGGATTCTGAGATCAAAGGCACGGCCCGTTGGCTGTTCTAGCCGTCAATTAATCAATTTAATATATAATATTAAAAATGATAAACAATTCTGATAGTATATGATTACACTGCGGAAGATTCCTTCTTTTTATTGTATTTTTTTATATTTTATGTGTATTTAAAATAGACAGTTTTTAATCGTTTTCGGAATCACACCAACCGGTTTTCGCAATTAGAACATAAAATTCGCATTTTCGACGTAACTCGAAAACAAAAGACGTTTTTAGTTAACAGTAGATCTTTGGACCGTTGGAGAAGACTATTTTACATTATAAAAATAACAACATTTTCAATTATATTTCTAGCAGTTCTTTTTACCGCAATGTATGTCCAAACAAAGTTCAGAAAATTCAAGTCAAAAACAATAAGTCGAATACAAAATACAATAAGTCAAAAACAAGACCGATTATATAAATAGCAAGAATGTTTTCAATCACAATTCATAACAATACTTTTTATCACAATGTATGTCCAAACAAAGTTCAGAAAATTCAAGTCAAAAACAATAAGTCGAATACAAAATACAATAAATCAAAAACAAGAGACGTTTTCAATTAACGCTAGATCTTTAGACCACTGAAACTAACTATTTTATATTATAAAACTAACAAGAACGTTTTCAATCACATTTCTAGTAATTCTTTTTATCACAGTGTATGTTCAAATAAAATTCAATAAATTCCCCATAAAATGTTACACCAATTGTAAAGCAAATAAACTGAAACTCGAAAATAGAAACTAATGAATTTCTTATAAAAATAGCGTCGAAGTTACGTGAAACGTAAATGAAGTGCCAAAAATTATGTATCGTTGAAGAGTTCCACGGTTTCCGATTATTTTACGTAATTACGAGGTCGATATCTGTTTCCATCGAAAAGCGACAGCGTAGTTCAACAGTGCAGAATCGATACTTGCGATGTGCAAAATCGCAAAAAAAATCGGGCAGAGTTGATTTGCTGGTCGTTTAGAGAATTTCTTCGAATTTGTTGTATTTCCGCGTAGTTTCGCAAGCGACTGTACATATTCGAGCGATTATGTCGCGATGAATGAAATGTAAATTCGATGGCAGAAAGAGAAACGGATGCGCGGGGCCTGGTTGAACGGTCGAAAAATATGGTAACGAGGCTCGGTCGGATTTAAAAATCGTTAACTGGACATCGCGGCTCCGAATAATCATCGCGATTGGCCGCCACTTATTTTCAAACCCCGCCGCGGACGAAAAATTCACGGAACCGAGCTGTGACTGACAATCCACGGTTTCTTTGATGTCTTTCCGGGGATCGTGAATTAAATTTCGCAGCATTTAACTTTGCTTTTTAATTGTCGAATTCTATTTAATTGAAGTGAAATTGAACGGAATCTCATAAATTTTATCACTGTGTGTATCACTGTATCGCGTCGATCACGTTCAAATTGACATCAGATTCTATTGTTTTGTTATCGAGCAACGTGGGCAAATTCTCCCTAATTGACAATATTTTGAGAAAAGTAAATATTCTAGTTAAAGAATAATAGATATATATATATATATATATATTATTCTTTAACTAGAATATTTACTTTTCTCAATATATATATATTATTCTTTAACTAGAATATTTACTTTTCTCAATATATATAGATATATATATATAGCTCAAGTTGTCAATTTATTGGTGTGAAAGGTATTATTTTCTCTATCAAATTTCGCTTTCATTGAGAAACCACAGTAATACCTATACTTATCCTATAGTAAATTCTCCCTGATTGACGTTTGAATTGAGCACAAAAAAAGGACAATTTGAGTAGAGCAGACGCGATTATTCGACTCTTGCGGCTCGTTTTCATAATTGTTGACAATCGGTAACTATTAAAACGAGCCGCATTAAATTAATCGTATTTCCTCTTCCCGAATTGTCCATTTTGTGTACGATCTGAGCGCCAATTAGGGAGAATTTACTGTACAGAGTTATCCAAAAGTACCTTTAAAATGTTGAAGAAGAATATCAATCAAACGCCATGTTCGTTTCTCGTCACTTTCTTTTCTTTCTAACTTACAACGATGGACAATTTTAACGATGGAGTCGTATGCGATCGAAGAGCGTGTTAAAGTTATTGAAATTTATTTGAAAAATCAATGTCCAATAAAAAATATCCATTGTAAATTACGCGATTTTTTCGGCGTACCTAATTGTCCATCGGTGCAAGCAATTCGAAGTTCGGTTAAAAAATTTGATAAAACTGGATCTGTTTGCGATATATAAATCAAAGTCTGGCAGACCAAAAGGAGCTCGTTCGAATGGAAACATTGCTGCCGTTCATGAAAGTGTTGCTAATGAACCATCTGCGTCAATTCCACGTCGTTCTCAAGAATTGAACACTTCTTACGGCAGTTTGTGGCGAATTTTGCATAAAGATTCGCGTTTGCGTGCTGACAAAATTCAATTTGTACAAGAATTGAAAGAACGCGAGCATTTGCAAGGTGGAAATATCGCCGATTGATTGTTAGAACATCGTTCAATCGATGCATTGTTTTCGCCCAAGATCATTTTCAACGATGAAGTTCATTTCACATTGCATGGACACGTCGACAAGCACAATTGTCGCATATGGGGAGATGAAAATCCAACAGGCATTCGAGAGAAATCGCTTCATCCCAAAAATG